ATGCGTGACCCTGGAAGGTGGTGATGTGCGGTAACAGCCCCAATGAGACAGGTTAAATCAAGCAAGTTAAAGCCAGTTGTAGATGAAGGTAAGTGGGCTGGTGAGCCCACAGGGCACCCAACACAGCCAGCACACGCTATCGTGTAAGGAGGACGGCCAGCCCCGCATGTGTCCAAGTGCCCTGGTCCAGCTCCAAGAACAAAGCTTAGCAGGAGGCATGTCACGAAGTCGTTATTAAATCTGCATTGTGGCCTGTGAATGCTGGAGCAGTTAATCAAAAGCATTGTGCCATCAAGGAGGGTCTGCCCCAGAGCCTCTGACTGGTGCTCCAGAGCTGCAGCAGGATCACAAGCAGGCCAGGGAGAGGGGATGAGGACAGGGATGTGCAGGCAGCAAGGGCAGAGGGATGGATGGAGGGATGGAGCCGGGGCACAGAGGAGGCTCGAGAGGCCATTGCCGGAGGCCGGCGCCCATCCTGCTCTGCAGCTGGGGACAAGGGGGACTCTATGTCCCTCCGATGGGGCAGGCAGAAAGGGCCATGTTGGCAGATCACAGGGCACCTCAAAGCTGTCAGGTCCTGCCCTTGGGCTGCCTAGAAAAATGGATTTTCAGTCTTGAAATGGCAGGGCAGAAACCTGAGGCCAAGTCCACTGCTGCCACACATGTAGTCTGTAGGCAAATGGAAGATTTTGGATGGGAGGCACATCCAAACCTTAGGGAAGAGCAAAAAAACACCCATCAGTGTCCCCAGGTGAATCCATGCAGGGAAGGACTCGGCACCCTCAGCTCCTCCACACTGGCCATGTCTGGTGGGTGGTGTCCACCCTGAGCCCAGCTCCTGCAGCTGGAGGAGGCAGCACACGCACACCCCGGCAGTGCCGTGTCCCTGTGGGCTGGGGTGTGACAGAGCAGAATGGGATGGAAGAGCCACCATTGTCCCCTGGTGCTGTCAGCAGCTCCCATCCCTCTGCCAGCTCGGCAGCGTGCTCCTCCCGGGCACGGATCCCTCCCAGAAACACCCCGGCTGCCTTCCCCACGGCCACCCGCAGCCATCCCCCCAGGCACGAAGCCAGCGCTTGGGCCTGGCACTGCCTCCTCCCCAGGCGCCGCTGCCAGTGGGGCTGCTACAGCCACCCCCATCCCGAGGAGGAGCGGGGCCAGGGAGAGCACTCGCTGTGTCCCCAGCCGCCCCAACAGAGGTGCTGGCACACGGGTGCCACCTCCCCCTGCACCCCCACTGCTGCTTGGGGGATGCCCCACAGAGAGGACCCCCAGGGCATCCAAGGTGCGTCCAAGGGCTGGGTGCCCAACAGAGGGTTGGAGGGTGCTTCAGCCCCGGCGTTTCAAGGTGATGGCACTGACACCCATCCCCAGCTTCACCTGTGGCACCATCGGCTATCTGAGCCTGGCACAGTTTGCTCCCCCGGCCCCCAAGATTTGGGTGACAGTCCAGGTCACTCCAACTGCTGGAGATGCTCCAGGAAAAGCAGCAGCTCACATGGGAAAGGGCCAAACTGGGACTCGAGGAGCTGCTTGCCCACCTCTGGCACACGTCCCACTGGGCTGCATCACTGCCAGGGCTTAAGTGCCACCCCCTGTCCCCACTGTACTGGGCCGGGGCAGTGACACCGCATCCCCCGCAGTCCATTTTCCAGGTGCAGTGAGGGGCCAGGAGCTGTCTCGGGGTTGGCTGAGCCGCAGCGTGCCAGAGCTGAACCGAAACCGGAGCCGCTGGGAGAGGCTGGAGTGTGGGAACGGCAGGAGCACACTGGATTCCTCCCCGCATCGATTTAGCAAGCTTCCCGCAGCCAGATGTTTCCAGCTGCTGGGGCAGGGAGCAGCAGGGACGGCTCAGCCTGTGCCGCAGCGGGGTCAGTCGGACACCCTGCCTTAGCCAGGCTCCCTTCCCCAGCAGCAGCGGCTGGGACGTGTCCCCCAGTGTTCCCCACTCTGCCATGGCTGCATGCTCAGGGACCGGCCATCCTCTCCACCCCGGCTCCAGGCTGCCTTGCAGCCCCGTTCGCAGCTCCCCACCGCTCTCGCAGGCTCTGTCCTGCTGCCATGGAGGGAAGCGGGTGCTGGCTCTGGCCCTGTGCTCCCCTAGCCTGGCCACGCAGAGGAGGGCAGCCCTGAGACACAGTCCCTGTCCCCACACCCTGTGTGGGGAGGCCACCAGCCCCCACTGCCTGAGCCGCGCTCCCCTGTGCCAGGGTCTAACCTGTCTTTGCTGGCTCTCTGTCCTGCCCTTGGGCAGCTCTCTGGGCCCTCCCCGGCCCCCGCTGCTGCTCCTTTCTTAACTGAGCACTCTCAGTGCTCTCTTCAATGTCACCAAACACAATATGGCTCCGCTTTGCACACAGGGAAACTGAGGCAGAAGTACTAAGCCAACCCCCGACCACCCCATCTTCTGCAAGCGCTCTCCCGCCCAGCCTCCATTGCCTGCCCCTGTGTGAAACGCCG